GAGAGAGAGAGAGAGAGAGAGAGAGAGAGAGAGAGAGAGAGAGAGAGAAACAGAGAGAGGGAGAGAGAGAAACAGAGAGAGAGAGAGAGAGAGAGACAGAGAGATAGAGAGAGAGAGAGAGAGAAACGGAGAGCGAGAGAGAGAGAGAGAAACGGAGAGCGAGAGAGAGAGGGAGAGCAAGAGAGAGAGGGGGAGAGAGAGAGAGAGAGAGAAAGAGAAGCAGAAGGCAGAAATACAGGGGGGAGGAGCATGAGAAAGTAGATGAAAGAGAGATGGCAGAGATTGATACAGAGAAAAAAGGGAGTTAGAGAACAGGGAGGTAGGGCATGAAGGAGAAAAAAGTGAGAGTGCGAGAGAGAGGCAGCGATAACGGGCAGCGGCATGTGTAAGTCGGGACGATAAGCTAGGCTCTTTACTAATTCACTTCTGTGATTTACAGGCTGCGCCATGTACAGACAATCTCACATGTGACGGGTGCTACTATAAGGAATACAACTGGAGAGACATCTTGGTACAACGGTAGACAGCAGAGATGGGCACACAGTATTGGGGTGTGCTGGGACTTGTTCGTCGCAGTCGGAGCTAAGCTGATATTGGTTTAATTGGCCGTAATTCTGGCCGTAATATTGGCCGTAATTCAACACCGGAATACGCATAATAAATACAACACTGGTGGGAAGGAGAGACACAGTCAAAGAAGTACTGCTATATAGAAGATAATTAATAACCAAGAAGCCCAGAACACCAGCATCTTTCTCCAGCAAAGTAATGCCAAGTGTCCCAAACAGAAGGAAGCCGTGTATAGCCAATGCGGCCATACCAGTGCTGCTGCATCACACCTACATCTTATCCTAGGCCGTACACGACGCTTTGCATGGCCGCTGGACGTGCGGATTTGTACCCCCGGGTATACGCCATCTGTCGCAACCCTCACTCCTTATACCACCTCTTCGGTACATGTATATGTAGCAGGATTCGGGTAGGAGTACGTGCACAGGTGTAGTGATGCACTGGCCCCCTACTACAGTATGGCCAGTTCAGCGTATAACCATACGTAGATAATAGCAACTCTGTACCTTAGGTAGTGATGCACCGGCCGCGGATGCGGGCACCGCCCCCCTACATTAAGCATTCAATATAGGGCTAGCAGCATCATGTCAATCACCAGCGCGTGGCCTCCGACGACAGTCACCATCGCGCAGGCCGCGCGCTTCCTCCCTTTAGGAATCAAGTTCAGAGGGTGGGTCAGGATCGGTTTACGTTCGCGTGTGCCAGGGGGGGTGAGACAACACCTTGGCTGGTCAGAGCATGGGAAATCACACCTCCCCCCTCCCAAGAGCATGGGAGTTAGGGTTGGGGTGTCCGGCTCGCAGGTTTACCCTGGCACAATCGCATAGGTTGAATGACGTCGTCGATGCTAGGGCGAGCTACAATCTTATAGGCCTACGTGCTGCCATATTTTGGGACTAAATTTGGGGGGAGTTGGTCGCTCCCATGGCGTCGCACTCACGCGGCCTGTGTGGGCTGTTGCTCGGCTCCGCGAGTCTGCGCGCTTACGGGGGCGGGCCGTTCCGGCGCGCGCAATCATCCCCGGCCGGACGCGCAAACGTACGCATGTCGCGGCCGGGCGCGCACAGGGCTCTCCTCACCCATAATGTACCAACAATATACTCGGGTGTTTGTGTCTATATGTTGTTAACCGCGCGGAAAATTTGGTTGCACGGTTTAGTTCGAGTTTCGCTCGCCAGGGACTTTGGCGCTTACGAGACGTTAACTACTTATGGAGACAGCGTCATTACCGTGCAAGAACCACCTGGGAAGAGCAGGCCAAGTGTGTTGCGCTCAGGACTTCAGGCTGAACAGTCTGGAGTTTGGAGTCCCACCTTGATCACTTATGTTGTGCCCATGAGCAAGGCATTTTATGGAAGGTTTGCTTGGAGAAGGGAGTGACTTTGTCACTAGTGAGGAGATAAGCTTTCTCTGCCACCCCTAGCTACAGGTTGTCCTTAGGCAAGGCATAGCACCTGTTTAGCCTCCCGTGCCAGGGTTACGGTGAAGATGTCTAATATAGTGGAGATGGACTGAACACAGCATTGAACATAACAAAATTGGAGGGAAGGAGAAACATAGCTAAAGGAGTGCTGCTCTACTAGATAATCCACATCAAAGAAGGTAAATATCTTTCTCCAGCTAAATATCTGCTAGTGACCCAAGGAAGATGAAGAAGAAGAAGAAGAAAAGATGAATAAAGAGAAGAAAAAAATGAAAATGAAGTTCTAAGGAAACGCCGCTGACGACGAAGAAGAAGAAGAAGAAGAAGAAATAGACTATGATGACGATGTGGGCAACGACCAAGATGATGACTTCAACAATGAAGAGGAAGCAAAAGAGGAATGTCTGATCATAGGTAACTTGTTGTTTTTTAGTCTTACAGCACAAGCAAATCTAATTCAGTCAATTGCAATATATAGATATAAACGTGCTTGTGTCAAATTCAGTGATCAATATAAGACATTATCTGGTTGGCAGAACCAAACTTAACAATTTTCACCAATTTCAACCAACTATACATGTTCTGTCACTTTGAAGGTATCTGTTTTCAGATGGAAGAGGGATAATTGGTGCCAGGGTGTTGAGTCATGAGGCTGGGATTGGAGCAAGATGTCTTTTTTCCTCCATTCAAACACCATGCATGCTTATCATTTAGACCAGCAATACACAGTGAGTAGTTTCTGTCCGTGTCTTAGGGAAGAGCATGTCTTGTGGGCATGTATTAGAGTAAAGAGCAGCATATAGTGAGAGTGTTTGAGAGAGGGTGAGGAATAGGGGGTGCATACATATATGTGTGCATGTGCGTGTGTGTCGAGATAGAGAGAGAGAGAGAGAGAGAGAGAGAGAGAGAGAAAGAGAAAGAGAGACAGAGTGGATAGAGAGGGAGAAAGGGAGTAAGAGAGTTTTTGTCATCAAAATTTTCCATTTTATGGTTTTAATAAATTTATTCAGTCTGTCTGAGCTGTTATGGTTGGGATCGGACATAAAAAGTTAGAGCTGTCATTGATATGAAAATATTTCGATTCGATTATCAAAATAGTGTTTTCCTATATTTCGATCTGATTCGTATAATATAAATATAATGTTTCAATTCCTTTTTGGCATGTAGGGTAGCCTTTGCTGTAATTTTGAACTTAAATTAGTACACCTGACACTACATTGCATGGGACTAATGTTTCCCTGCTAGGAATGCAACGCCTAGTTTAAGCAACTAAAAAGAAAGAATACACCTAAAGAGTTAAACCTATATATTTATATTGCAACGTGAATAAAATGGAATAGAACGAACAGAATGTGACAAAATGACTCCACGTCTACTCAATCCACCAGGAAGCTCAGTAAAGCTAGCTCATCCATAAACTAAAGATACAGCACCAGGAGTCGATAGTCCATCTTAGGAAGTTAGGTCACAATATGTCTCCTCCAAAGCAGTGCTATGCTTCTATACTTTGTATAGTTATAGTGTAAAGAGAAACTAATATGTTGGCATTGTCAGGCACAAAACTCTCCTTTCCCCGGTTAAAAACACCGCCTGCAGTAGAGAATACCCTCTCATATTTCATCAGAATAACCTATGAGGTGTAAGGTAACAACACTAGAGCAAAACGGTTTTTTACTAATACTATTTTACTGCATCGGATCGCTATTCTGGAATTTTTTTTATATCAATATTGCATGCAAATCCATCACGATACATCAACGGCATTGGTATCGATGACAGTCCTAATAGAAATGTAAATTATATGAAATATCCATAAATGAGTTGACTGATATGTTCCGTTATAATGCCTCCTAACAGATTGCTTATTAACTTAATCACCTATACTTACATATTAATAATCTCGCACTTAATCATTTCGCTTTTGTCTTTACTGTTACAGAACAAGGAACCAGGAAGGAACCGGAACAAGGATCAAGAAACCAAGCACCAGGACGAGGAACCAGGAACCAGGACTTCAGACTCACTTCTGCTGAACACTGCCACACCCACGGATCAGCACACGCCGGCAATGAGCCACCAAATCATGTAAAAGGACATTTGTGAAGACATAGACACATCATCAAGCTTACGGGAGGCGTGAGTGCATGAAATCGTTGAAGCCACGAATGCTATTGCAATGATGCACTACGTTAACGTGAAACTGTCTTGTTACCATCTGCATGTTGTTAATCGAATCCAGAGTAGTTTTCCATTGAGTTCGTTTTTAGACATCAGTAGTTCAATGTTCGAAGTATTTGACTAGACATTTTGAAATTTATAACTACTACGGAAGCTTCAGTTGAAGCAAAGAATTACTGTATATTTATTTACTCCACGTTACTGTAATTATGATGCACAAATTCGAAGTTGTCATCAGGCTCGAATCTTTGACGACAAAACACAGCGAGAGAACATGGGGAACGCTTCGGCCACGGCGTATACTGACCGTGATATGTCTCGCGAAAGAGAAGCCGCGTCCACGTGCGTGACGAAAAGTCGTAAGTGATTCATTTATAATATCGCGCGCTTATACGTTGAACATACTGGCAGGCATACGAGATAATAAATGCTCGTTTGTGCTGATACACAATAACATACAATTCAAATAAGGATTATATTTGATTTAAGTTTTTAAACGCAAACTTGTTGCGCGCGGCGTGCTTCTCTCGCACGCTCTCTCTCTGCTCCCTCTCGTGCTTCTCTCTCTCCCTCTTGCGTTTCTGCTCCTCTCCCCCTCTACCTTCCTCTCGCTCTCCTCTCTGCCCGCCCCTCTCTCTCTCTGCGCCCTCTCTCTCTCTGCCTTGCTCTTTCTCTCTTGTCCTACTCTTTCTTCTCTCTACTTCACTCTCTCTTATTTTGCCTCGACTCTGCATGCTTTCCACTTCCTCTCTGACCTTCTTCTCTCGGCTCCTGCTCTCTCTCTCTCTCACTCCTTATCCCTTTCCCGCTCTACCTTCGCCTTTCTGTGTGTGCAATGCGGGCGCGCATGTTTTTTCTTAAGTGTGCATCTTCTATATCCAGTCTACATCTGTTAATTGCTCTGGCCACGCCGCTCTCCGCTCTCTCCCTCCCTCCCTCCCTCTCTCCTCCCCCCCTCCCTCTCCTTCCATCCCTCCCATCCGCTCCCTCCTCCCTCGCCTCCCTCACCTCCCTCGCCTCCTGCTCTCTCATGCTCATTCTTACGCTCTCTTAAATTTCTCTCCGCTCACCCTCTTTCGTTTCACCATCTATCGTCCCCCTCCTCTTCTCCTCTGTCCTCACCTTTTGTGTGTTTTTTCTTCTCCTTTTCAGTCTCTTCATTTCTTCTCACGCCCTCCTTTTCTCTGTTCTCTTTCTTCTCTCTCTCTCTTTCCTCTCTCTTCTCTCTCTCTCTCTCTCTCTCTCTCCTCTCTCCAATCTCGCATAGTGCTCGCGCTTCTCACACTTGTGCTGTTAGGTTAGGAATTAGCGATAGGGATGAACAAAATGTTCGTTTTTTCTATATAAACACGTTAAACTTCCAAGTTCATTTTTCGTGATAGCGCGTTATCCATAAGCATTTCGTAAAAAAACTCAATTAAAGCGAGTGAGTGACAAGAAATAAATTATAATCATGAGCATACGACAGATGCTACGGATTGACCAGAAATCCTGTAAATTATCAACGTAAACTAGTACCTAACATCTAACGCACACACAATATTACTCACGTACCGGAGTTATAGGTTGTCACAGCTTCGAATCTTTCACGACAAAACGCAAGAGAGAAACATGGCGGGGACCTTCGGGGCCATAAGGCCTACTAACCGTGATATATCTTAGCGAGAGAGAACCTGTCACGGCGTGACGAAAAGTCTCTCCTCTCTCTCGTCTCTCTCTCTTTAATCTCTCTCTCTCGTGCTCTCATTTCGCTTCTCTCTCTCTCTCTCTCTTTTCTCTCTCATCTCTCTCCTCTTTCACTCCGCCTCCCCTCTCTCTCTCTCTCTCATTCTCTCTCTCTCCCTCTCTCTCTCTCTCTCTCTCATATCTCTCTCTTCGCTATTGCTACAATTCTTACGCTCTCATTAATTTCTCTCCCTCCCCTCTCTTTTCGTTTTTCACCATCTGCTCTCCCCCTCTCTTTCTTCTGCTCTCACGCTGTGTTTTTTCTCTATTTTTCAGTCTCTGCATTTCTCACCCCTCCTTCTCTCTTTCTCTCTGCGCATCTCCCCCTCCTTCTCCATCTTCGCATGCGTTGCCTTCTCAACACTGGTGTGCTAGGGTTAAGATTAGCGATAAGGGATGACAAATGTTTCGTTTTCTATTATAAACACGTTAAACTCCAAGTTCATTTTTCGTAAACCGGTTAAATCTCATGAGCATTTCCGTAAAAAAAGCTCAAATTAAACGAAGTGAGTGACAAAAATGAATTTATAAAATCAATAGCAACGACAGATTGCCTACGCTTGACCAAAAATTCCTGTAAATTATCGAACGAACTAGACCTAACATGCTAATCGCACACACAATATTAACTCACGTTAAAGGGTAGTTATAGGTTGTCACAGGCTCGAATCTTTCACGAAAAAAAACGCAAGAGAGAACATGGCCAGGGGAAACGCTTCGGGCGCACGTGTATAAGCGCTACCTAACCGTGATATACTTCTTGCGAGAGAAAGAAGCCCTCACGGCGTGACGAAAGTCGAAGTGATTCATTTAATATATGCCGCGCTTTATAATTATGTTCTTACCAAGTGGCAAGGTCATATTTGCTTACATGTGCACTAACGATGGCTATGTTGAACCATACTGAAGGCTAATAGAAATAATAAATGCTGTTGTGTAATACACAATAACATTAAATTCAATAAAGAATAACGAGTTTCAAACCAAAACGTTGCGTACAATGATGAGCATACACTTCTCTCCTCTTTCTCTCTCTGCTCTCCTTCTCTCTCTTTCTCTCTTCTCTTCCTCCTCTCTCTCCGCCGCCTCTCTTCCTCCTCGCTCTCTCTCTCCTCTCTCTTTAATCTCTCTCTCTCTCTCTCTTTCTCTCTCTCGCTCTCGATCTCTCTCTGTCCATGTCTCCTCTCTCGGCGCTCTTCTCTCTCTCTTTCTCTTCTCGCTCCGTCTGCTATACCTCTCTCTATCTTTTTCTCTCTCTATCTCTACTCTATCTCTATCTCTAATCTCTCTCTCTCTTCTCTCTGCTCTCTCTCTCTCTCTCTCTCTCTATCCTCTATCTCTCTCTATCTCTCTCTCTCCTAATTCTCTGACTGTCTCTTCTCCTCTCTCCAAATAATACTGTCAGTCGACATACTACACAAAGCCCTGCTGATTAATAAACAAAATGGAAACAATCCGAAGTTTGCGTTCGCAACCAATTCTTCAAATGTCTGAAATAAATCAAAAGTCGATTGCTTTTGATGCTCCAAAAACCTCCAACAAATCAGCATACGTTAGCTAACACTATAACCACAATACATCTAGGCATCGACCAACATATCGGTTAATGAGCTAGAAAACACCAGGCAGAGTTTATAGCCGTGTGTGTGCGTGTGTGGCGTGTGGTCGCGAGTGCCGGTACGGTATGGAAGCCTACTTGTAATATTAACAATTTTAAAGCAAACTACAAAACACGTTTATGGTTAGCGTCAATGCTACTTACTGAGCAAGACAGTACGCAATCTATAATAATATATAACATGTCTACATCATTTACAATTGTTACAGATTATTACATAATAAAAACCATATGAATTTGGACACTTTTGACAATATACTCGCCTAATAGCAATACATACATTTGTAGAGTAGCATTAGTAGCCATGACAGTGTGAATTTTGGATTAAAATTGAATCATTTTTATCGAAAGACTTGAAATAGGTCATTCAATCTATGCCAATTAAAGATTTGCATTTTATTTCAGGTCAGAAAAATGTAAAATTCTCAGGACATTAGAATAAAATAAGGACTTGACCTATTCCAAGGACTTTCCAATGTACGAAAAATTAAGACTTTTAAGGACAAAAGACAAAAATCAAAGAACTTTCAAGGCTGTCGGGACTTTGAACACTATCATACAATATGTTACATCGTGAAATAGAATTGTTTTAGGTATTATTTTAAAAATCGAATTTGATCTTGGGGCAAGATTTTGGGCCTCATGAATAGTATGTGCCAACAGAACGATAGAACGGACACATTCCTTCTTCTTTTTATTACGTAGTAGGTTATGACCGACTTTCTTATTTCATTACAGCACAGGACTTAAATATAACATTTGAAAAAAAACAAGTTTTTATACAATTATTTACTAAATTAAAACATTTAAGTATTGCGACCTGCGTTTTTCGGTGGCAGGCGTCATGCACACTGCGTAAATAAAGCTACAACTACAACGGTGCAGTCGTCCGCTCATACTAGATAGTTCACACCTACTCACCACACACACCGCACAACGCACACGGCACACGCACACGCACACAACCCACGGCACACGCACACGCACACGCACGACGCACACGCACAGCAACACACACACACACAATACGCGACACGCACAGGCAACAACGCACACGCACAGCGCACACGCACACGCAGGACAGGCGCATAAAAAACCGCACATCGCACCGCACACGCACACGCACACGCTTTTCACACGCACAAAGCACACGCACACGCACAACACCATACACACGCACGCCAACACACACACACATACGCACGCACCGCCACGCACACACGCCCACATCCGCGCGTACCTAGGAGGAAGATTAGAACCGACTTAAGATCAATGTATTCTACTATAAACCGAACAATATTCACAAATAATCATATGTTAAAAATGAAACTTGTTGGTATATACAGGATACGTAATGAATCTTTCTTAAATAAAAGAGTCAGCTTACATTTATTGCCATGATTTTACCACGTGAGGTGAATGCTTCGAATAAAGAAGTCGGTGGGATGGGGCAGATGGTGTAATTGGTTAAAGTGGAAAAAGGGCGTAGGCAGTGCATGGGGTCTAATAAATAGCAGGGAGGTGATGAATATATATTTTCGAGAACGTTTTGTTGGAAGAAAACTTATTTAAGTCAAAGTTTTTTTATAATTATATGGCATCTCTAGTGAATTCTGACCATTAGATGCGGAGCAAGCGACCATTTTTATCAGTTCTCCGTTACCTGCACATGTGTGATGTGTGTGTGGGGGGGGGGGGTGACAAGAGAAAAAGGAAGTTAACATTTACCTTCTACACTCACATTTAAGTGAATAACCAGGGGCGTAGGCTTGATAATAATTTATTAAAGGGAAGCAAAAATGTGCGTGAACTATCTGAGCAATTGATGACAGGGTAAATACATTTAAGCGGCTTACAATAAAATAAACCAGCATGTAGCATCATGCATGATACGGTTAGGGTCTTATTTTCTATTTATTACCATCGACATTATATCTTACATTGACATTAATTTACTTACATCAAAGCTTTCAAATATTTCTAATTTGCATTTAATAATTGTAATATATTTCTTTATCATCCAATTTCAGGGGCACGCGGCGCCACCTTCTCCTACCTCCCCCACCCTGCGAGGCCATGCGCAATGAACAATGAACGATTAAGATATATTCTCTACGGGGAAGTGCCGCACCTCAAAATACAGCAGCCTTCCCCTGTAAAGTACTGTCCTGTAAAGTCTCATATAAGAGACAAATATGAAACAGTAACGCCTAGCTAACGCGTGAACAAGCATCAAGCTATATATTTATTTTCACAAAAACTTGCGTTCGTGCGTAACGTTAAGCACGGGTGGTGTTTTATGGCCCTGAACACACATTGACAGATTTAGCAGCGTAGCCGAACGTAGGCAAAGAATTTGGTGCAATACGCTGGCGTACGTCCGAATAAGTTATGGTATAGCTTTGTATAAAAATAAAACGCTGAAAAAGCTGAAGCACGCTGTATACGTCGGTTAGTACGGCGAGTCTTCAAATTTTTTGAGCTGCTCAAACATTTTCGCGACGTATTGCCAGCGTTGCCATACGTCTCCGCATACGCGGGCCATAAGTTGTAGGTATAGATTATTCGATCGTTGACACACGTTCACCACACGTTTAGCTTGTAAGTTACTCATAAGCGAATTACGTGCGAGATTAATGTTAGCAGTACCCAAAACTTATTTCTAAACTATGAGTAACGTGCTTGAACCTATGTGTAACTTGTCTCCAACGCATATTGACGTGATTTGACGTGTTCCGGACGACCAACAGACTTACTGAACGGTTTCTAAACTTACAGCTACCGTATAAGCGTATTGGCAAGCGTTAGGGGAATTGGTATATAAGAAATGGATTGCATGTTGATACTGCGACGGTGATGTTCATCTGACGATGTCTAGTGCGGTTATGATTTGAATCGTCGAGCAGGTAGCCTTTTTATTGCTTAAGAACGTGATCGCGGCGATACGCTGCCGCGCGCCTAATGCATAAGTTAGACTATCGTTGGGCATAAGTGTGAAGCGCCGCAACACGCTAATCATTCCCGTTGGTATAAGTTATCTATAAGTTATTCGAAACGTTTATTATACGTTACTAATACGTTAAGTATGCGTCCTAACCTCGTTATGAATACGCTATCGTAATACGCTCAAAATTGAAAAAAAACATCGAATAGTTTCAGCGTATGCCAGCTTTTAGAGAAATTTTGATACGTCGATACGCTGGCTAAATCGTCAATGTGTGACGGGCATCGTAGTGCGTGCGCGGCGCGTACGCACGTGTCTGTGTGTATACGTGTGCTTGCGTGTGCGTTCGTACATGTGTACACCCTGGGCGTGTGCGCGTGCGTTTGCATGTGGTTCGTGCATATATGCGACTGGTGGCATGTGTGCTATGTTTGTGTGTACATGCATGAGCGTGAGTGCGTGCGTCACGCGTGTGTATTGTATGTATGTAAATGTCAGGGGTGATGTGTGACTCCGTATGTTTGCGCGCGCACGCGTGTCGTGCGCGTTCGTGCGTGCGTGTGTGTGCGTGTGTGTGCGTGTGTGCGTGTGTGCGTGTGTCGTGTGTGCGTGTGTGCTTGTGTGCCGGTGGTGCCGTGTGTATGTTTGTGTGTGTGTGCTGTGTGTGTGTGTGTGTGTGTGTCTGTGTGTGTCGTGTGTGTGTGTGTGGCGTGCGTGCGCGTGTGTATGTATGTGCTGATTTTTCTTCGCGATGACACACATATGTTTGTAGTTATACGCAGTAGGCCCGCTACTTTTCCAGCAGCCATTGTCAAACCAGAAATATATAAAATGACTCAATCTTCACATTCAGTCTAGTTCGTGAATTTAGTTACGTAAAAGTAGATGACACGTGCCAACTTTCCAACGAAATGAATAGAGAATTTCTTCCTTTTCCAAGCCATATGTGATGATGTGTGTGTGTGTGTTGCGTGTGTGTGTGTGTGCGTGTGTGTGTGTGTGTGTGTGTGTGTGTAGTGTGTGTGTGTGGTGTGTGTGTGTGTGTGTTTGTGTGTGTGTGTGTGTGTGTGTGCGTGCGTGCGTGCGTGGGTGTGTGTGCGCGCGCGTGTTTGTGTGTGCGCGCGTGCGTGTGCGTTCACATGCACGTGAGCCTGTGTGTGTGCGTGCGTGTGCGTCCGTGCGTATGCGTGCGTGCTTGCACGCCCGCGTGTGTGTGTTCGTGGTCGTGCTCGTACGTGCTTTCGTTCGTGCGTGTACTTGCTTCTGCGTAAGTGTTTTATCTCTGACCTTTAATAATTCGAGTGTACTGTATCGAATGAAGCCATTTTTATCACGTGATTTTCTCGAGTTACCTACTCATGTTGTGAGTCTGGTAGTACATCTCGGGCAGCCATTGATGACCAGATCAATCATTACAGTTTTAAAACTGTACTACCAGACACAGCTTTCACAACCCACACACCACACCCACAGTTACACACACAGCGCCCACAGCACCCACACAGCGGCAGCGGGCAGCAGTTGCACCCACAGTTTACAACTTACACTTTACAATTTAGTTCGAATTTAGTATAAACTACACGACAGCTGCCCGGGCGTTTACGAAGATAGAATAGAGATTTGCATTTCATTGTCTTACCTTCAATTGAAACTCAATGAACTACCACATCGATGACTGTCCGTAATGAATGCATGACGTACTGATAGATGTACATCCCCATGATGTACTGAAAACAATAAAAATGCGACGACGAACAATTGACAAAATTTCTGAACTGAAGCAAACATAGATAAACTCAAAACGATAACTTCTGAAATATTTATATATTTAACTCTCTGTATCTTGTAAAATCTTAATCGAACAAGCGTTTACAAAGAAATAATATAGATTCGATTTTCATTTTCAAGCTTCTTACTTCAATGCTTTACAATTAATACTCGCAAATTTGTGCGATATTCTTACCTTCAATTGAAACTACATCGTGCATCAATTAACTACCACGTCGATAATTGTCTATACTGAAAACAAGAAAAAGACGGCGACGAACAATGGACGAAATTTGTGAATTGAAGCAAACAGATTAACAAAAAATTCTGAAACATTTATATATCTAACTCTATATAATAATCTTGTACAATCTTAATAGAACAAGCGTTTACAAAGAAAGAATAGAGTGTTATATTTCAGTTCCAAGCTATATATATCTTGTAAAATCTAACAGTAAGCGATGTTATCACGCGTATGTGTACATACAATCAAAGCGCATCCGGTGAGTTGGCGGGAAAACGACCAGAATATGTGCAATCAGCCGGTATATATAGCTTCACGTCATACTAGCTACTATAGCGACCCCTATTTATCAAGATTAATGTTACCAAAAATTAAATGCTAGGCTATATAATTATATAGTATCTATCCAGTATCTGTAGTATCTTACTTTTATTGATATATTCCATGATATATTGTACATCGTGCAGTATGTGACTGCTTTTGTGGTTGCCACCTTTTAATTCATTCCTTTGTCTTTTTCTTGTCTCTCTATATAGTTTCCTGTTATCATGCTTATCAGTGTACGCATAGAATTATATATCTCGCTTGCTATCTCTGAAAGGGCAAATATGTTAATCATAGTTCGACCATATCCCCGCTGATTTCTTCAGCTCAGATATGCGTGTGTTATATAATCATGTAATGACAAAAAAAAATTTAAAACGATCATTGCGGGCATAGATTTCAACGCGGAAGGTTTTACTTGTTAAACGAAACAGACTTCCCCGTGTATTTCTTTCCTCACAAATTTGAAGTGATGGATAGAACCGTGCAGTGCCTAGAATATTGCGAGGATATGTGTAGGGCGTATACAGCCTTTTAACACTGTTTAATCGAAACAATACTCGTTAAATATATAGACTTGCTTAGTGAAATAAATATCTCGTAGTCGCTTTTGGTTTCCCTGTCAGAAAAATGCGTTATTATTGCAAACGAAGGAAGCACTTTACTTTCGTATATGCTTTAGGTGTAGTTTACGCTATAATACACTATAAAATAATATGAAAGCACGTGTACGTAGAACGGGTTTATTTAAATATTGTGAAAATAAACTGTACATATAGGTTCCTTTCTTCCTTCCCTAACTTTTTTCACATTCTAAGAAGCGCGCGGCCACGCACGCACGCACGCACGCACGCACGCTCGCGCACGCACGCACACACACACACACACCACACACACACACACACACCACACACACCACACACCACACACACACACACACACACACACACACATACGTGTGTATATAATATATACGTTGTATTTTATGTCTACAGAACTGATTAATGGCAAGACTTCCATCACCCCTTTAATGCATTTGATGGCGATGATGATTGCATGCACGACAGTAATTGTGATTATTGCACTGACAGTGCATGCATCAGTCATTGAATGGTAAACCATGACAAATATTAAGTTCTAGCTGTTGTATACTCGACACACGCACGCACGCACGCAAACAAACAACAACAAAAACAACAAACAACAAACACCACACAATTCGCGCCAGCACCAGTGCTGCAGCAGATGGAAACTAGTTTATCAGAGCCCACCACACAACAATCTTACGGAGGACCCATTGAAAAAAATGTACTCCTTATTACCTACAATGCTAGAGACATACTCGATCTGCCAGTCTGGCACGAAGTCAAAACCAATATGATGTCACTACACCGCAGTCCGCCTCCAATCTTCAGCTGACAATTCATTAAATTATCAGCTGTACAATCCTACACCAAGTTCAACATAAATTTATTTCAGAAAATTTGCTAATTTGCCATTGTACTGCCATATGTAATTTCTCTCGATTCTGCTTACTAACCGCTAGCACTTCACAACTCGCTAGAAGAGAGCTGAGCTATCTAGAAACCTACTTACTAGAAGACTTAGAAGAAGATGAGAAATATCGTTCGAAGGTTCTTAAACGAACTCGATTTTTCCTAATATCATAGTTAATCAAGTAATCAACATATCTATATACTATACTATATATATATATCAGAGTGGATAATAGACTATTATCCACTCCTGTATATATATACACTATCAGATATAGCTGAAATAATTTAGAGTATTACACGGCCCACCTGCGCCTACGCACGCACGAACGCACGCACGCCACGCACGCACGCACGCACGCACGCACGCACGACACACACACACACATCACACACACACACCACCACCTATATATCATAATATACAGTAATAATTCGGATCCCGAGAATTCATTCCCCCTATTAACGCTATTACGGCATTGCGTAGGCAACTAACCTGCCGCACTAACTTGCTGTATGTTGAGTATCACTGACTACACCATCGCCAGTTGTGCTAGAACCGACAACGATGTCGCCGCGTGTTACTGGGATGCTAACGTCATCTTCACATAGGGGGCGCTGTCGTGGGGTCGCCACTAGGGTCCCTATATACAGAGAGTTGCGCCAACTCAGGATTTGACGCCATTTTGTTTCCAAATAGATTCTCACCGCTGCCGCTTAAGTACAGCGCTGTATGGATACGCTGTACAATGGTCCGTAGTAATTAATTAGACTAATCGCGCTTCAATAAACTCAAGATTTACAGAGATTATAGCTAAGACATGTGTCTATGTGTATTTATATTTCTAGAAATGTAACTCAAATCGTTCGCGCCATATGATAATTTAATTGTATACACTTTCTTACGGCCATAGCCGTGCGTATCCATTTGGAAACAACATGTCGTCCAGCGACCACGTGACCGATTTTTTCCGACTCGTCATGGCGCAACTCTCTGTATATAGGGACCCTAGTCGCCACCTCGTTGCCACGGCGCCTTCCATCCTGAGGTAGTGAGCCGGGAGCCCTCCTCCTCCCCCTCCTCCTGAAAGCTGGACGAGAGTTGCTCCTTCCTTTCTCATTCACCATACCATCTTCATCATCCATCGCTTCGTATCGCTCATTTCTTATCCCACCTTCCTTATACTGCACTCTGTATCCTTTATTTCCCATCTTTCATTCCTTATTCCTGCGGGGTGGTGGACGGGGCCGGCCCGCGTGTCCACGCAAGCGCCCGTGTTCTCCATCCGACTCTGCAGGTTCATGTCCGCGATGCTTCAGCGCGGGCAAAACAAGCGAATGTAGATAACATAGTAGGTGAAGCGAACTAATATCTCTGTGTACTGTCAACTGTCAACTATCTCTGTGTTTTCGCCTGTGTTTGTGGTTCTGTGTGTATACTGGCCCTGTATCAATACTACCCAACGCCCTGCACGATTCCATGCGATTAATTTTCTCACGTCACACAGGAATTGCTCGTATATATCACATAGATCCTTTCAGAGATAATAAAATCACGTGTTTTAACGAGTGTTAGTGTAGTTTTATACAGCTAGTCAGGTGTCAGTTTCTATAGTAAGTCCACAGACAGTATAAATTAGTGTAAGGTAGTATTGTTGCATGGCCCTGTGTGCAGACCGATGCGCCAGCTACGCTGTGCCCACAGTGTCATTAACGACAGTATCTATTAGGCCTAGTTCGTAATAAACCAAACAAAAAACAAAGTATTTGTTTTATGCTTCTATAATCTTTATCACTTCTATTATCTTTATCATTTCTATTATCTTTAATTTATGCTTCTATTATTTTTATATTTGGTATGAGATAAGAGTGAAGTGTATGAGATAAGAGTGAAGGCTATGAGATAAGACTGAAGTGTATGAGATAAGAGTGAAGTGTATGAGATAAGAGTGAAGGGTATGAGATAAGAGTGAAGGGTATGAGATAAGAGTGAAGGGTATGAGATAAGAGTGAAGTGTATGAGATAAGAGTGAACGGTATGAGATAAGAGTGAAGTGTATGAGATAAGAGTGAGGGTATGAGATAAGAGTGAGGGTATGAGATAAGAGTGAAGGGGTAGTAGATGAGACAGAGTTACTAGATGAAACTAAGGGGTAGCAGGGCCGTATCCTCGGAATCGGTGGGGTGGTGGGGGGGGGGGGCAGCTGCCCCTAGATTTTGGAGCAAAACAAATAAATTAGCTTACGTAATGTTAAATGCTGTTATATACTTATTACAATTATTGACTTATTCAATTTTTTGCCCTAGTTTGTACCTTATTGTACATTTCATTCTCAAGTGAAATATTCTACAAGAATTTAATGTGTTTCTGTGGCATGATCGCGTTGATGCAGTACATAGACCATGCACGGATTCAAGGGGAGATGCAGCCGGTCAAATAATATGAGTACGTTTTGTTGTGTGTTTCCTTCAAAACAGGCGTGATTTCTTAGGAATTGCAGATTGCACCGGATTAAATTTTTTTTAAACTGGGGGTTCCACAACCTCGTTTTTCAAAAACCTGAATACGCCTCTGCATGCCAAGTGGCTGGCTCCAAAAGCCTACCCGATAAAAAAGACCCACCTCCTGCAACGTTCGCTACAAACCTGTCATCATTACACACCTAAGTCATGAAATATACGTCCCCCCCCGGAAGAGTTTGCTCGGCCTACGGTTCTGCTATTGCAACTAATGTGTAATAGATAAGTCTGATGGATAGTGGATGAAATTGAGGGTTAGTGGATGAAACTGATTGATAGTAGATGAACCTGAAAGGTAGTAGATGAAACTGATGAGCAGGAGATGGAACTTAGGTTTAGGAGATGAGGCAGAGCATACAGTAAGCTTCACTTAGTACACTTAAGCTAGTTTCTTATATCGCGTATAACATAATGGACAAGTCGTTGCTGTTGTCGATGAAGGTCCACATGGGGGCGCCACGATCATAGTGAAGACCAGCATGTTGTAGAAGGTGCGTCTGTCAGCCGCGTGTTCCTAGAAGAAAAGAGAGATCGGAAACGAGTTAAGAGCAATATATTCTACCGTATGCCGATCAATAAACAATACCAAATAATCAAATGTAAACATCAACTCGATGGTATATGTAAGGTATATCGTAATGAATTTTCCTCTAAAAAAGGTGAAGTAAATGCTTTGAATAATGAACGTCGGTGGGTAGGGACGGGGGGAGGGCAGCAGTTAAAGTGGAAAGGCGTAGCTGGTGGGGTCTAATAATATAGCAGGGAAGTGGTGAATAACACATTTGTCGACTAATTTTTGGTGCTTGTAAAATTATGTAGCCAAAGTTAAAATTACTATGGCTATCTCTCGTGAATCCTGATCCAAAGCAGAGCGACCTCACTGATTGTTTCTTTAGCAGATCATTCCGTGACCTGAACATGTGGGGTGGGGGCGGTGACCAAGAGGAGAAACGTGTTAACATTACATAGTAGGCCTACACTGACATATAAGTGAATAACCAGGGGGCGTAACTTGAACAAATTATTGAAGGGAAGCAAATTTTCGTGTGACAAGGTAAAACATTTAACGTATTCAAGAACATAAGGCTGGATTAGGGCCTGAAGGGTTAATTCATTTTCTTCTATTATAGTACTGGCATTTATCGGCATTTATATTTACATTTACACGAATTTACTTGCATCAACTTTCACCACATTTTTCTATATGCATTTTTAAAATAGTCTGTACTAGTATATATAGTTTTATCATCCAAAATTTAGGGGTCAGCAGTCCCCTTCTTCTACCCCCCCCCCCCGGGAGGACATGGTCATGACAACAACGAGGAGGACTATACTCTCTACCGGGGAAGCCAGCCCCTTAAATACTGCAGTTCCCCCTGTCTGCAAAGCTTATACAAGAGACACATATGAACAGTACGCCTAGGCGGCCTATCTAACCGCCAATAACCAATACTGAACAAGATCAAAACTATCTGTTGATAATTCACGTTTATAACTGCGTGCGCACGTACGCAAGCACAGGGTGTGCCGGTGCGGCGTGCGTGCCGCATCGTGCCCTGCTCGCCCGACCACTGTGTCTGCGCTGTTTACCATGTGCTTCGCTTTCGTCCGCGTTCGTGCGCCCGTGCTGCGTATTCGCGCGTTTCTGTCTGTGCTGTGCGTTTTTAAGTGTGTCGGCTGCGTGCCTTTGTTATGTGTGTGTTGTGCATGAATGAGCTGGGTGCGCCTCCCGCGTCTTGCGGTGCCTGTGGGTTCGTCCTCGCATCTGCGAACCGCGCGATCGTGCGGGATCCCGACGTAGTGTGTGTGTGTGTGTTGATGCCGGCCGACGTCGGTGTGTGGATGTGTGTGTGTGGTGTGTGTATGGTGGTGTGCGGGCCGTAGGCCCGTGTGCGTGTGCCGCGAGTGCTGGTGCGTCCGTGCGTGTCGCGGGTGTGCCCGTCTGTGCGTGTGCGTGTGCGCTTTGGCGTCGTGCTGGTGGCCGTGCTGCTGTGTGTGTGTCTGTGTGTGCCATATCGTGTGCGTGATGCGTCGGTCCCTTGCGTGCTTACGTGGTGCGCTGTCGCTGTGTTGTCGGTGTGTTCTGTTCTACTTTCGTGCGTGCTTTCTCTTAGACGTCTGCGTGCGTCTGCATAAGTGTTCTATCTCGGGACTTTAATAATTCGAGCGTTATAGATCTATATACGATAATTGGTAATCTTGTGGATTGTGTGTGCCACTGGCTGTGTGTGGGTGTGTCCTCTGTGTTTGTTTGTGTTTCGCTTTTCGCCCTGATTGGTCACTCAAATCGCGGCTAACTAAATGATATATTCAGAATCACCACGTCTGGGAGCATGCGTTCTTGCGTGAGAAAGATTTTTTTTTTTAAAGTTCAAGTATTAAGTATTAAAGTCAAAAATTTCGAAAAAATGCTATTCGTGCAATAGATGGCAGTGCGTACAGCAGATCCAGACTCACATACGTGCGCGAAATTTACACTGCCGTCTCTTGACTTGCCGCCGTAATGAGCATATTCAGAATCACCACGTCTGCTGGAGATGGTTTCTGGCTCAAACAAAAAATCTATTCCTCCAATACTACGCGGCAGTAGCTACGTCTCAGATTCCCCCCTGCTCCACTCTGCTTGACGCTACACCGTACTGACAACAGTAGTCAGTGGCCAGTAAGCGTGCCAGTGTTTCTGGGTAACCAGTGCAGTGCGTTTCCTTTTCAGATTAATGAAAATTTAACTCTTATCTGTGTCACATACATGGAGTATATTTAAAGACAACATTGCGGGTGGTTCTACGGGGTATACTTTCTGCCTAGTATATATAACGAGGAAAGGCCGCCCGCAGACCACGAATTTACATGTCTGCATATTCATATAGGAGAAAAACAGTCTGAAAGACTAAAAGAACATCAAACCAGTCTCTCTGTGTGTGTTTGTTGGTGTGTGGTGTGTGTGCTGTGGTGTGTGCTGTGTGTGTGTGGTGTGTGTGTGTGGTTGTGTTGTTGTTCGTTGGTATGTGTTGGGTGCTGTGTGCTGTGTGTGTGTTGTGTGTTTTGTCTGTTGGTAATGCTGTGTGGGGTGCATGGGTTGACCGACATGTGTGCTGTGTCTGTTGCGTCTGGGTGTAGGTTATGTGGTGTGTTATGTGATCCCTGCTGACGTGGGGTGTGCTGCTGCTGTGTGTGTGTGTGTTTGCGTGTTGGTGTTGCTCTGTTGTGTCGTGACTCCCGCCCAAGACAGATCAAGAAGAGAGAGAGGAGAGGATGTTGTGTGTGTGCCTGTGGCGTGCGTGTGGTGTATGTGTATGTGTAAATGTGTTGTGTGGTCCGTTGTTGGTGGGTGCCTGTGTGTGTGTGTTGCGCGGTGTGATGTGGTGGCGGCGTGGTGGTGTGCATGGTGTGTGATCGGGCCGCCGCCCTGTGTTTCGCTGTGCGTGCGCCGAGATTGCGCGCACGTGCGTGCGTGCGTGCGTGTGTGTGTGTGTGTGTGTGTGTGTGGTGTGTGTGTTATGGTGTGTGTGTGTGTGCTGAGTGTGTGTAATTGTGCGTGTTAATGTGTGTGTGTGGGGTGTGTGTGTGTGTGTGTGCTTGTGCGTGCCGTGGCGGCCGTGACTGTGCCGGTGCCGGGGGTGCCGTGGTGTGTTGCGCGCAATGATGGAAAGCACATTCATGGTCCTTTCACAATAAAGCCATTAAAAATGGCTAGGTCACGCTGAAACAAAAAAAGTTTTTTCAACGCTCGGTCACACCAATGTCTCAGAAAAATGGGTAAAATTGCCCTGTGCCCCATTGACCTTTGACCTGTTGACCTCCAATTTCGGCCACGTATTGTGTGATGGGCGCCTCTCTCTGCGCGCGCCTATCTCACGACTGCCTAATTAGCACCGACTATCACCGGATCTCGCCTATTTCTCAGCGGTCTCGTATGGATTTGGCCGGCTACTTCGTCTGCCGTAAGTAGATCTGTCTTATTTCTCTCTCTGACTCTATTTCAATATATAACGTGTAAAGTAGTAACTGTATCGGAATGAAACTCCCATACCTCTTTCATCACCGTGATTTTCCCCCCTGTTCTATTTGATCTACCCTTACATCTGCATGCTCATTTGTGTACCGTGTTGAACTCTCTCAGCTTCGACCATACCAACTCTTTTTCGGAGTGTACTCCCCGCCTCACACTCCCAGTACATTCACTCGGTGACAGCCTCACATTGATCTGGACACAGATAGCTGTATATATTTAAAACTTGGTACTCACACACTAGCGAGCATATTCGCACAGGAGAACCCAAACACCAACGAGCCCATTACACCCACAGCACCCACACAGCGAGCAGCGGCAGCAGTGCACTCACAGTTACAACTTCACACTTCTACACTTATAGTTCGAATTTAGTACTAATCTACGACGACAGCCTGCCCGGGCGTTACCGAAGATTAGCATAAGATTTGCCTTTCACAGGGTTTCTTACTGCACCTTCTATCAATTGAAACTCAACGGATGAACTACCACCATCACGACGGATGACTGTCCATANTTAGTCTTAGGTGAAGGCAACTAATATATCGGTGTACTGTCTACTGTCAACTGTTAACTGTGCACGAAGGGTCGTTGTCGTAACCAGTACTACAGATATGTCCGAGGTAGTTTTAGGTTGTTTAGTATTTATGTTTATAATTTTATATGAGGTATGTTTTTGGTTTAGGGTTAGGGTTAGAGTTAGTTAGGGTTAAGGGTTAGTGTTAGGGTTAGGGTACACTTCTGTAGTACAAGGTCTGGTACACTTTGTGTATACATATATGTACTCGGGTACATATCTGTAGTACCTGTTACGACAACGACCCCTTGAGCGTTAACTGTCAACTATCTCTGTGTTTTCGCCTGAGTTTGTGGTTCTGTGCGTATACTGGCCCTGTATCAATACTACCCAACGCCTGCACGATTCCATGCAGATAATTTCTCACGTGACACAGAATTGCCCGTATATTATATTGTATATCACATAGATCCTTTCAGAGATAATAAAATCACGTGTTTTAACGAGTGTTAGTGTAGTTTTATACAGCTAGTCAGGTGTCAGTTTCTATAGTAAGTCCACAGACAGTAGAAATTAGTGTAAGGTAGTATTGTTACATGGCTCTGTACAGACCGATGCGCCAGCTACGCAGTGCCCGCAGTGTAATTAATGACAGTATCTATTAGTTAATAAACCAAACAAAAAACAAAGTATTCAATTTATGCTTCTATTATCTTTATCATTTCTATTATCTTTATGTTTCTATTATCTTTATCATTTCTATTACTTTTAAGCTTCTATTATCTTTATATTCTATGACAGAATCTTATAGGGCATAATCAAACTATTCATGTCACTTTATCACTAGAATTTCGGCAGGATATTGATGAAAGGCGGGTGTGTTTGAGAGCGAGCGCGGTAGGCTGCTATAGCTGGTCTCTTCCCAGAACCCCAGTACCGCTCCATCAGTCCGACAAATGTGGGGTGTTGCTATCCCCGGGCGTGGAGGGACGCCGCACGATGGCAGCACTAGTATTAGGATTAATATTATTCGTATTAGTATTAGTATTAGGTTAGGGTTAGGGTTAGGGTTAGGATTAGGATTAAGGTTAGGGTTAGGGTTAGGGTTTGTATTTAGAGTTTTTGCATCATGATATCTGTCTCCACACCATAGATTAATTTTTGCGCATCAGACTGCTACTATATAGCGGTCCGAGATTCATATATTTAGTGATAGGTTTCTGGTTGGAGGTGTTGGAGTTAGGGTTACCGGATGTGTAAACATCTTGAAGTATACGTCAACTGTATCACGTGACCGTCCCTCCACGCCCGGGGGATAGCAACACCCACAAATGTGAGTCTCTCCAGCAAGATGCAGAGAATGATGTCAGCCGGGGTCACGTGCTCGCAGCACAACCACCAGGTGGCGCGCCCTAGAACACAAGCACTGGGTGTTAAAAGGATACCATCGAATTTTAGAGTATATTATGATAGTGAGTGCATAAGTAATAGTATATTATATACCTACAAATTTCTAAAATCACGCATTCACATGTGTCATAAAACAACAGTGAGTTTCGAAATCATTATTTGCTATAATCTATTATATTTAACAATTTACAAAAATCACTTAGGGTCGCATTTCTATGTCAAATTCAAAATTCAAATAAAATAAATTTTATGCACAAATATCGTCACAGATAAATTGGCATAGGTCGCGAGATGCGTTGTTAGCTATTTAGCGTGTTACTTACGTTCCGCGAGTTTTAATTATCAATCTTGACAAAACGTGCATCCTGACTCAAATTTTCGAATTTATAGCTGTTTGAGCTTTATACTGTTTGGAATTTATAACGTATAAGTATATTTTATACTGTTTCAACGCGATCTACTCTCTACCGCTCGCCGAAAGCTGGTCAACATCTGGCTCGGCCTAATAGCTACGCCAAAAACGTCTGTTGTGAACGCTCGCTCGAGCCAAATCTGGCTACGGGCCTAATAGGCTCGGCAAAAATCTCCGTGTGAACGCGCCTATAGATAGCAGCAGCAGCAGCAGCAGCAGCAGCAGCAGCGTCCTTGCATCTCTCGCTTCTCTCGCTGCTTCCATCATCATGCATCATCATCATCATCACCATCAGCGTCGTCCTCACACTAAGCGACTTTAGCAGTTACCAGCGTCTATAGCTAAGATGGCGGACCATAGCAACTCTCCAAACCTCAAGCTGTATATGAATCCGCTTTCGATCTACTCACAGCACGTATATTATATATTTCTTATTTATTAATATTTATATGTATGATTAATTAAGTATATAGATGGAAGATAATCAGCTACGAAGTTTAATAAGTAGCACATTTAGCACTTTATTACCTATAGTTACCGCGTACAATAAAACTCACTATTACGAACGAAATTAAATAGGGCTATAATTTCACATAATTTTCATAATAAATAACTGAAAGAATATTTTTATAGATATAACCTGAGGCAAGTTTTCGTACACCTACAGTGGTAAAGCATCTGCATGATCAGGTATTGACTCTGCAATGCACCTATTGTTGTCGTTCGCAGAACGAAGTTTGTAAACGTCGGAAAAACGGTTCGTATTTGAGAAGTTGCTGCGTTAGCGATGATATGCATTAATGGCGCATTTTACACTGGGGAGAATCTGTACGCATTCTGGTCACTCGCGCAAGAAACAAAAAGTGAGGCCTAAGCTTCGCCTTTCAAATAATATGCTGAAATCAAAATTTGAAAAGCATCTGAAAAGTGTGTAAGTCCATGGCAGATGAATCTACTAGAGGGACACCGCGTCTTTTCGTAACTCGTCCGTAACGTGGATCAGTATTTAGCTTGTGTGCACGTCCGTTCCAGCGCCCCTGTTGAAAATCCGCACAATCGCTTGAAAATTGTCGAGTCACGATGACTATGCATATAAAGGTGCATGCTAACCCGGCAAAAATACTTTAGTGTATTCAGGTTATCTGGTATCAGAATTTGCGCTCACAATGCGTCACATTATTTTGAAGACAAACATCAATTAAAAATCGATGTGATGTGATGGCGGCTTATGTCAGCCCATGCTGCACATTCTAAACGGCCAAACACATGCACGCACTACCTGGGCAAAACTAGGTCATACCTGCATGTCATCAGGAGTCAATCAAATAGTGATCGTCTATGATCCTATCAAAATTGATAGACTCGCTGATCATGCATTAATGCGCGTACACCTGTGTTGGGATGTGTGTGGTGTGTGTGTGTGTTGTGTTGGTGTGTGTGTGTGCGTGGCCTGTGTGCGTGCGTGCCGTGCGTGCGTGCGTGCGTACGTGCGTGCGTGTGTGTGTGTTTTCGTGAGTCTGTATGTGTCTCTGTGCATGTGTGCGTGTGTTTCTTCGTCTGTATGCATGCGCGCGCACGTGCGCGTATGTGTCTACACGTGCGGGCGTGTATTCTGCAATTAAATAGATATTGTGGAAAACAACTTCAAAAATTTTAAGTACTTGTATCTACAGAAGAACAGTTTACCTTTAGGTTACTAAGGTTTCCTTCTATCGCTTTCAGGTCATGTTCGCGCTTGAAGAGAAGAAGTTACCATTTGAGAAAGTTTGTCGTGGACTTGTTTAAGTATGCCCAGTACGAGCCATGGTTCGTAAAGCTCAACCCGAAGTGTGAAGTACCCATATTACAGCATGGAGATGCAACCATCACTGACTCTGCGCGCATCATTGACTACTTGGAGAAACATTTCTCAGGAGGTGGGTGGAATTTCTTTACCGTCGAATACATGCGAGTGTTTTGATTTTCACAGTAGAAGTAAAACGCAGAGAGTCTCTTGGAGAATTGCCCACTATCATCATCATTATCATTTGTATCATCAGCATCAGCATCATCGTCAGCGTCATCGTCATCGTCAGCGTCATCGTCATCGTCATCCTAATCTAAATGTTATTATGTTACATTATAACAGTACGCATGCACTTAATTTTTTCCCTAATTTCCTTACCCTCGGCACCTTCTCTGACCCCGAGCAGTTTTGCTTACATATCTACTCCGGAGAAGAGAAAAGGCAAACGCGATGGAAACAATTGTTTTCATCGTAATAACACCTGATATCGCATTGTATGAGTTGCAGGAGACAGGCCAAGGGTTGTTTCCCGTTGAGGGAACAGATGCCGCTACACTGACCAAGCATTTCCGCAAGGTTCTGCTAGACATTAACCTGGGAGAAAATCGCTTTTGGTATTTACTATCATCCATACTTGGGAAAGAACCTGCTGGGTACCGGATAACATCAGAGAAATGGCCAAGGGTGAGCGATTTCCATCCAAAACCGTTATTGATTAATGATAATTGATTATCGATTATCAAAAATTGTTCAGCCGCGATAAATATAAATTCTGTGACTTATAGTGTTGCATTTCATTTTCGTTAGGCGTTTATGCGGGAAAGGTGGCCCACCTTCAATCGTTGATAAAGAAATATCCCAACCTTAGAGGATGTTATGAGCAGAAGGCCTCAAAGGTAAATATGTTTCTGTTTAAAACGCCATCTGGTGCGCGATTAGCACTACATATCAATTGGCGGTGACTATCGTTGAAAACATCAGAATGCCACTGCATCATTGTATATAAGGATAAGTATGGAGCGACAAAGGGATCGATAGATCGATGCATAATCAGACATACGGACCGACGGATCGACGGATTGCTGGAAAGGGTGGATGGATGGATGGATGGATGGATGGATGGATGGATGGATGGATGGATGGATGGCGGATGATGATAGATGAATGGATGAATGGATGGATGGATTGGATGGATGGATGGGTGGATGTTGAATGGATGGATCGATGGATGGATTGAGTGAATGATGGATGGATGGATGGATGGATGGATAGGTTGATGGGTGGACGGACGAATGGACGGATAGACGGACGAACGGACGGACGGACGACGGACGGGCGGACGGGCGGACGGGCGGACGGGCGTCTGGAGAGATAGGTTTGTAGGTGAACGGACCTACTCACGCACGGGCGGACAGAATGATGGACTGGATAAATGAATGCATGAAATATGCGAGCCATGTAGAAAATAAAAGTTAGATAAACATGTTTTTAAGCTCCTGCTGCTGCTAACCGGTATCCTAAATCTGGTGTGTTTATCATGTTGTCAGAGCGCCGTTCGTGGGCAAGGAAGTATGCAAATGAACCTGAAATTGTGAAGGCATTGGATAATCTTGAACCGCTAATGGACGAAGTAGAGAAGCAACTGGCAACGCATACGGAAGGTAGGAATCATGCAACTAAAAAATTAATATTTATTTATTTATTTATTTATTTCTCACTTATTATTATAGCGACGAATTTATATAGTTGTAACTG